AGTTTCTTCCTAGCTATATCAATTCGGTAGATGTTACATTAGGTGAAGAATATAATTTATTACATCCAAAACAAATGAATGTGTTGATTCTTCAGTTGTGTTTACTCCATTTTTTTATGGAAAGAGTTTTGAATATAGGAACATAAGAATGAGAACACATCTAAAAGCTGAAGGCCTGCGGACTATTGTTGCAACTGACTGTGAAGACTAAGAATATGATGGTAAACTTTCAACATGAGATGAGAAATATTGAGACTAAGTGTCGTCAAGATGCAAAAGTCTTTCAGAAAAATTCAAATGAAAATCTCAAGAGCATAATTTACAAAAATTATTATACTTATGACTTGCAAAGAAAGCATGAGAGTCTCTGAAAGCTGAAGTGTATGGTGATGAAGAGATACGCTTTAGAAATCTTCAAAACTTTAAAAAAAAGTATCAAAATTTGAAGATGACAGAATCAGAAAAAAAAAAAGGTGAGTATTGGTAATGAAATGAATAATCATGATGATTTTATCATCGACCAACAAGCTGTGTAAAATTTTTAATGTCACATAAAAGTATGAGTATACTGATTTTATCACTGAGGAGACGAAAGATTTTTCTATATTTTTAGTCGAAGCTCAAAATTTCTCAAAATATCTACAAAAAGAAGGTACAAAGAAGAACCGTGATAACTTTACTAAGAAGGTCGAAGAAATGTATAATAAAAGTATAATATTTGTACATAAAATTTACAAAAAAAAACTAATCATAATACAAAAAAATATTGGCACACAGCCAATCTCTAATATACTTTTTGTAAAAACATTTGTCCACATTGAAAAGGATGACAGACACAATAGTGGGAGCAACAAAACTTCTACGAAGGAAAAGAGAAATGAAAGGAAGATAACCTTTCTTCAGAAAAACAATGAAGCCTTAATTAATGCAAAAAGTAAGTGTTCCATTTCGATCAATGAAACGGGAGCAGTATGCAAATTTATGATCTTTTTTATGTTTGACTTGGAAGAAAATTTTCTTAGTACTCTTCAACTCATGGAAAATTTCATGTCTTTATAGATAATTATTTAAATATTTGTGATAAAACTGAGCCAAATTAAGTCATTGCTGCAGTAAAGATGATAAAAAGAAATTTTCATTTACAATTTCATTATAATGCATTCAAAAATGAAGTTATGGATGACTCGTGGCTTTTGCACGAAAGATTTTATCACTTGAATTTTCATGGTTGAAAGCTTCTTAAGTAAAAAAACATGGTGCAAGACCTTCCTGAGATACAAAGGTGAATCTATGTGAAAGTTGTATAATTAAAAAGTCTTTTCAAAAGAAAAATATTGGAGTGCAAGTGTATTTTTGTGAACTGATCCATACAGATGCTTGCGGATCAATGAAGACTCTATTTTTGAAAAGTCAAAGATATGTTCTAATCTTTATAGATCATTTTTCAAGAATGTTTTGGATATGTTTCTTGAAAAAAAAGTTTTAGAAACATTTGTCTCATTCAAAAGGTTGCAGCATTAAAATCATTACTAGTGACAGAAGAGGTGAATACACAAATTGAGAATTTAAAGAATATTTCAAAAATGAAGGCATACAAATCTAAAGGATATACTCCTCAATAAAATAGTGTATCTGAAAAAAGAAATAGAAGTATTATTCAAATGACCTGAATAATGATGAAGATTTTTGGGCATAAGTATACATACACTAGTGTATATCCTCAATAGGTATCCAACAAAGGTACTGAAGGACAAGATACTAGTTAAACTTGGAGTAAAATGAGACCTTTTTCAATTCATATTAATTTTTTTGAATGTATTTGTTAATAAGATGAAAAGAGTCAAAATGTATATTTCTTGATTATAATGATATCACAAAAGGCTATGGGCTTCTCGACATCAAAACTAAGAAACTTGTTGTTTGTAAAAATGTAAAAACAACACAGAATTGGAAATTTTAAAGATGAAGAATACTTATATAATTTGTTTATAGTGTCAAGTCTTCGAGAGGAAATAAAATGTTGAGTGACATTAATCAAAGATGCAACTTTGTTGGTGTTGACGCAAAAAACTATGAAGAGGCAATAAGGCATGATGTTTGGAAGAAATTCATGATAGAAGAAATACGAATGGTTGAGAAAAATAATACTTGGGATCTTGTGGATGTATCTAAAGATAGAGAAGTTGTAAGTCTAAAATGAAATTACAAAATCAAACTCAATAAAGAAGGAGATATTCAAAAGCACTAAGCAGGGTTGGTTGCTAGTGGTTTCACGCAAAAAATAGGTATTGATTCTTATGGAACTTTCTCCCCAATTACAGGACTTGAGACGATTAGAACCGTGATTGTTTTTGCTACACAAAATAAATGAATATTTTTTCCAAATTGATATTAAGTATGTATTTCTAAATGGAAACCTTAATTGGTTATTTTGATAGTGATTGAATTAGAAGCATGGATGACATGAAGAGTACTTCTGGTTCTGCTTTCTTATTTAATTCAAGTATTTGTTTTTCATTTTAAAAAAGGTAAAGCATTCTTGCTCAATCCACTGCCGAATCAGAATATGTCTCAACAACTAAGGCTAGCCTCTCAAGCTATTTGGCTTAGGAGAATTTTCGAAGACATTGGTAGAGAATTAAAAAAAAAAGGTTTGTTATGTGTTGCAATAACAAATCAGTGATTGCCATTGCCAACAATCCGGACAACCATGAAAGCTCGAAACATATTTTAATCAAGTATCAATTTTATCCTAGAAGCACAGGAGAAAGACGAAATTCAGTTGCATTATTTCTAGACATGAGAACAACTTGATAATATCTTCATCAAAGCACTTTTGCTACAGAAAAGTTTTGCTATCTTCAAGAACACATTGTAATTGTCGAGCAAATGGATTAAGAGAGAATGTTGGAATTAATGTGTTCAGAAGAATATTATCCTTGACATTTAGCCTTTCTGCATTATCTCTTAGTTTTTCAAGAGTTAAGATACATGTATCTAGTAAATTTTGATACATGTATCTAGTTATTTATGCAAGATCTTTGATTTGATATTTTGAATATAATATAAATAGAGATGTTGTTGATGACTGCAATTATCATATATTATTATAAGCATGAAGCTCTAAAGTGTAAAGTTAAATTACTACTTTGCCCCTATACTAAATTAAAAAGTAATAAAATACTTTACCCAAATATAAATTAAATATCTAATTAAATAGTAATATTGAATTACATAATAGAGGAGCAAAATAAGAAGTTCAGCAGTCTATTCAATTACTATGTGTGAAACAACCAAATAGGATGAACACTAATAAAGTTTCAATTAATATAGAAGTTGAAACGTATTTTACTAATTATGAGAAGTTGAAAGGGATCAAATTAATTAATTGAGGAATATCAAAGAGTTTTTATCAACAAATATTCAAGACTACACTATATAAACATACTCAATATTAGTCATTCAACACAAGCTTCCATTGTTAAGTGGGTACAAAAATGTCTTCTAATTTTCAGGTACAATCTTATTAAGTCTAGATTTTTCCGTTTGATTTGCTAACTTCATTTGAATGATAACTTTCTAATTTTTTTAATAGGTAAAATAAAAAGCTTGAAAGGTATAATCGTACATATCAAAAATTGAATGTTGTTGTACACATATGGTTTGATGTTGAATGATAATCAACTCTCTTTGAAACTCTCTACGCATAGCTTCCCACAGAAAAGAAACCATGTTTAAACCTTTAAACTATTAATAATAAATTGAAATTGCAGCTGTTTGCTAGCAAAATATATCACATTTTCTTCAACAAATGTAGCAACTCCAAGTCTTCTCTAACAGTGATGGATAGTAGTTGTAAGCCTGTAAATGTAAGTCTGGGTATATCTGAAAGTTTTTAAGGAAGTAGTTACATTTGTAACGACACACATTAAGGATACAAGATGATTTTAAGTAACGTCGCATTTCCCTTTTTAATTCTTTAACTTGATGTGTCTTTCTTGGAAATTTTACTTGTTGATGACTGTCTGTATATTTAATTGCTTATAAATGGGTAAGCTTCGGAGACTTATCTAATGTGCAGTAGATCGAAAATATCGAGAGAACACTCGAAAAAAACATCATAATTCTCCTAATAGTTTATTATCTACTTTTTCATTTATTTTTTTTATTGATTTTTATTTGGGATACACGTGCAACGCACGTGCCCGGAGACTAGTATCAAATAACCTTAAGCAACCTAATAAAACTTGAACATCTTCTAAGAAAGTATTTTCCTTTTATATTTGAGAAAATAGTCAAATGTGTCCTCAATGTATAACTGGATATCCAACTAAACACTTAAGCTTTACGGGAACCCTGTCATCCCGAAATATTCAAAAATGAAATAATTGTACAAAGACGAGGGAAAATGATGAAAAAATTATAAGCATGAAAGAATACTGCGGGTTAAATTGTAGCGGGCCAAGGCTTGTCCCACAAACTATTTAATTGCCATCCCTACTAAGCGTAAGGCCATCTACCACAAAAATTAAAGTAAAAAAATAGAAAAAGATACGGATAGAAAAGATGATTTTTCAAGGTCATGAAAAACAGCTCTTTCGCGAGGAAGAGATCACTCCAATAGATACATAAAGCTAAAATTACATTAAAGTAACTCTTGATACTAAAAACTTATGTATGGGGTTTTAATCAATCAACCAATTAATACATAACACTAAAGCCTACGGTCTATATGTACAGTTCAATGTCTCTCACAATTTTGTTTGTATGAATTCAATTCTCCATCTTCTCCCTGATCTCCAATATAATAAAAAAGAGTTTTAAAAAGAACAAGATAAAGCGACATACAGTTTGATGATCAACATTTTTTATGACACGGAAAAAACATAGCACACAATAATAAAAATATTTTTTAGCGGCAATAAATAGACACATTAATAAAAAGTGTTATTGTCTTTACCGACATTAGTTAAGTGTTATATGATTCAATGTCTAAAGCTTTTAAGGTCACATACAAAGAGTGTTAATTGTTCCTAAAAATATATATTTAGCGGCAATTGTTAATTAATTGTCGCTAAAGCTCATTTTTTATGCAAAGGCATTAGTTTAAATTGAAAAAGCCCAACATTGAAAAAAATGAATTAGTACACAAACGGCGAACAATTTAACAATTAGCCACTAAAGAATACAAAGATCAAGCGAATAATAAGGCTAATAAGGATTTCAAACTTTGAGACTCAACCACATTTGAATTTCCCTGCCACCATAGTTGCGCAAAGTGATGGAAAGCCTTTCCAGTGGGATGATAAAAGTCAAATATTACATGTTCCTTCACATTTTCACACAACTCATAAGCCTCTGCCATTCCACAACTACCAAATCCTCTGTATGGACCAAACCCACAGCATGCTGCCTTTGCTTCTTTGAAACCTTTAACATAATAAAAGTATCATTGTTATCTCCATCTCCTTTGATTTACCTTAACAGTAGGCTGTACTAAATTAAGTACTTTCCCGTTTCAATTCACATGAATTAGTTTGACTTGACACAAAATATAAATATTTTCTGATTTCAATTTATTGCTAGAAAATTTCTTCAAGGGCAAAATAGAAACCTTAAAGTTAAATTGTTACTAAATATATAAATGTGTCCTTTTTTTTGGACTGACTAAAAAGGAAAGTAAATCATATAAGGTTGAACAGAGGAAGTACTATATATGTCACGGTCCTTACGAAGTGAGTGCTATTTGAGAACATAAGATAGTTTACCTGCTATAATGCAATATTACATGCTAAAGTAATAGGAACGCACCATGTGTTGAAGGATTTTCGTAGAGTTCCTTAAGAGCATCAAAGATACTGAAGAATGAGTATTCGAAACCTCTTAATTCCTTCTTCAACTGTTTAAATTTCCGCGAAAGAGCTAAATTGTGCTTCTTTACTACAGAGTTGAGTTCATCCAAGCAATCACTATGAGGACCTTTCTTAAGCAAAGCAAGACCCCTAAATCTTGGTAAACAACCCAAAGGCAACAAATCCTGGATCCCAAATTTTCTCCCAGCTAACTTGTATATTTCCTAGTTTAAAAAAAACGCGATAAATTACTTATATAAACATGTTAAATGTAGCAATTAAAAATATGTATTTGGTTACCATCATGACTGTAACGAGGCTATCCATCACCATATTCATGTATTCGTGCTCTGTTGTATAAGATAAGCAAGACGAGTCTGAAGGTATATCTGGAATGTCATAAAGACGTAGATAATCGTTGTTGCCTATGATGAACAAGTAGACTGCATTGGATAACAATGCCTTTGAACCTTTTTCCCTAGTTGTGCCATCAACTTTTTTCTTATTATCTTAAAAATTGCCTAATTTAGGGTGGATCACCTGTAAGGTCAATTAAGATCGTAAGAGAAAACAATATTTGTTGATTTGGCAAAAATTGTATCTAAAATGATCACCCAGCTAATTACTTTACTTCTTAATCCAATATTTTTCTATAAGAAAAAGTGACTTTCTCATATATTTCTTTTGTTCCATTTCGGGAGACATTCTTTTTTTCCCGTCGTTTCAAAAAAAGTATCATCTTATTATAATTAGAAATAATTAAATTCTTAAAAAAATTCTTTTACTATTGATAAAATAAAATTTGCCACACAAATATCTAAGGATTATATTAGACCACAAAAACAATGTTACGTAAAATACAATAGTACTCAATAATTAGCTAAGTGATCATGAAAAAAGGGAAAAGGGCATATCCTTAAATTTGTCATTTAAAATTGACATAACTCTCGCTATAATAGTGACTCATATATATCCTTACGGTTACAAATGACTCACATATATCCTTACCTTTACAAAATGAGCTCGCATATACCCTTCATTTAATAAAGTAAAAAAAATAAATTTTAATTTTTCTTACTTTAAATTTTTTTAAAAAATCATATAGGAGTATGTATGTGTATTAATATATATATATATATATATATATATATATATATATATATATATATATATATATAATCCTTCTAGCAAAAAATTTGGATAAAAATAATTATTTTGAATTCTTTAATTATCACTATTTGAGTTTCTTATTTTTTTTCTTTTCATTCTTTAGTGCAAAGAAAATTTTAAAATTAATTTTTTTGACAGCTATACTAGTAATTTTATTTTTGCATTTGTAAAAATAAAAATAATGAGACATCTAAATTTTACTAGATAATTAGTGAAATATAAATAAATTTGACTATTAAAAAAATAAATTTAAATTAATAAAATATAAATAAATTTAACAATCAAAATAATAAATTTGATTCATCATCATATAGCATTTTCATTGGCTTATAACGAGAACGAGAATGGTTCAATAACATGATAATAGGAGCAGTTAAGTTACTAATCCTACAACTAGAGCGGGTAGAGAGCAAAAGATAGTAGCTACGGAAATGGCAGCATGTTGGCTTTTATATTAAATTAAAATTCAATCAATGAAATTTATTATGATAAATCGACTCCTCAAAATTAATCACGGAATATTCAGTCAGCAAAGATTAATACAATTAACATATGAATGCATACTCGATTTATAGCCTTATTTTGGGGATTGTAAGTTAAAGCAAGAATAGAGCATGTGATTTTATTGATATAAAATAATACTTAATAATTTTATTAGATATATTATAAAATAAGTAATATATACAAATTACTTTCATAACGAATAATATATCTAAACAAATTTAAAAGATATATCAAACTTTCTTTTGTCTCCAGGAGAAATAATCTACAAACAGTTTGTAACATTTTATTTTATATTACAGAAGTAGAACTATATAGCTTTACCAACCTTTTCACGGTATGTTTCATCTAGACAACCAGCACCAGCAGAAGCAAAGTTCACTCCATGATTAATATAATGGTTATGTAGAGCTTGGTAAAATGCTGGAATCGTTGGTAAATTTGCAAATTCCGCTAATAGTGATTAAAAAAATTACACCGTCGTACATAAAATTTGTGTTAAATTCAAAAAATTAGTACATAAAACTTGTATTAAACTCAAAATAAGAAATTATAGAGGTGTGAAAGTACTGATAAAATCAGGGAGGCGGCGGCCATCAGAAAATCTGCCAGTAGGATACTTAAAATATGATATTCCATATGGCTCAAAATTTGCTTTATAAGCTGAAGGATTCATTATGTAATTATTGTTTCCAGGATCAAACATGGAGTCTCCAAACACAAAAAGAGTTGTTGTCACTTTCTTTTCTATATCAAACAATTAACTAGGAAATTAAAAGAAGCTTGGGATATCAAAATGCAGATATCAAAGCATATATTTCCCATGGAAAAATAATCTTTGAAACTTGATACTCAATTGTTCTGAATACACTGTGAATGGGGATTTTTATAATTAATGCAGCCTTCTTTTATTTTTTTATTTTTTAATTTAAGTCTGTTGGTATTAGAGGGCACATCTTTGGATTTTAAAAAGATATTACCACTAGTTAATATATCCGCACTTCGCGCGGACATTATTAGATTTATGAATAAATTTTTTTATTTAAAATCTATTTGGTATGTTATCTTTAGAAATATGTAAAGAAAAAAAATAATTTCCTGAAAATTTTCTTTTTGTTTATGCGGTTGTAGTAAATTCTAAATGATATTTTAGGAGGGAGTTAAATTATACAGTGTTCATAAAAAAAATATTAATGATAAAAGTTACTCTAAATAAATTGATAACCAATAATTTAATAAATTAGAAAACATATCATATATATTTGTGTGTGTGTGTGCGCGCGCGTGTGCGTGAGCGTGTGCGTGAAATTCCTAGAGTGGAAATATACAACTAATTTCAAGTCATGCTTATCATATTTTTTTATCTAAAATAATTACATCTTTTAGAATCTATTGCTTGTAAAATAATAAAAGGTTGACTTTTATTTTGGTGAAAATCATCTTCGCTATATTGAGAAATCATGTCAACACTACATAAGCAATTCAATAGGAGTATCATATTTTCATTATTCAACTAACAATATACTCTACTTAATTTTTTAATTTAACATGAATCTAATATGAAAAGCAAAGAAAGTGGAAAATTAATCTATTAGGATTGGAAATTAGATGTCAGTTATGGATGATTATTATTTACTCCTAATAAAGTAGTATGTGAAAAGTTTTTATTATAAATGTTTCTCTATTAATAAAAATTATTTATAATTAATTAAGCAAATTACTTTTACAAAAATTAATTAATATAATTAAGAAAAAAGGTTAATAAAGAGAAGATTAATGTCACATCACTTTTTTTTTATGTTTCTCAATTTCAATAATTAAGAGGAGAAAAATAAATTACACTTTTTAGTTTTAATATAATTAATGTGACTAAGGGGAAAATTTTTCTTCAATCTTTTCATTAAATAATTTATTTATTCATTAAATTTTTTAAAAGTACTAAAAAAATGATTAATTTATTTTTTATTTAGTCTATGACTATTTTTTAATATGATAAACTACATCATATATTTTTTAGAGACATCAATATGCAATAGCTATAAGAAATGTATCATGTGCAATATTATATTTTTCAACTGTGACAAAAATTAAAATATTAATTAGAACTTGATGAAAAAATTACATAAAAATAAAACTATATAACTTTTCATCTTCATTCATTCAAATCATAAAATAATAATAATAATAATAATAATAATAATAATAATATTAATGATAATAATAATAATAATAATAATAATAATAATAATAATAATAATAATAATAATAATAATAATAATAAGAAGAAGAAGAAGAAGAAGAAGAAGAAGAAGAAGAAGAAGAAGAAGAAAAAGAGCAAAGTAAAATGAAGAAAATAATGTTAATTGAGCTTTCTAATGTGTTAATTAGTAAAGTTTCATAATTTAATTTTTGTTGAATAACATGAAATTATATATCTAACTAAAAAATATAATCAAAACAATACATGAATGAATTAATCTTCAAAATATTTGGAAATCATTCAAACTTTTTTACTAATATGACCATCTTCTTGATGAAAACTTGAAATAATTATGATTCCTTCTTTTTCATAAACTTGTACCAAAAATGCAAACACCAATTTGATGAATCTTGAATAATATCTCTATGATCTTTATCAATATGAAGATCATATGGTGAACTTATTAAGTACATGATTGATAAAAAATATGAAGAAAAAAATATAAAAGAGGAAAAAACTATACTAATAAAAAGAAAGAATGAGAAAATGAGAATAATCATTGAACATAGATAGTTGTTATTTTTAGTTTGTGTAAACCATAAGAATAACTAAAAATAAGTTGAAAAGACATATTATTTAAGTAGGGAATGTAAATAGATGGAGGTTTTGTTGTAACTAATTAGGTATAATTAGAATAATGAATATGAATGAATTTTTTAATTAATAAATAAATTATTTAATGAAAAGAAATGAAAAAAAAATAAAAAAGGAGGGGAAAAAATTGAAATGGAGGCCATAGAGAGGTGTCACATCACCTTGTCTATGGTCCTCATATATATATATATATATATATATATATATATATATATATATATATATATTCATTTGGTTTGATTTCATTATTTTTTTAATATAATAATTTGACGACCTAGAATACAGTGTTATTGGATACAAAAATAGTCATAATAACAGATTATTAATTTAAAATAATTGATATATCTATATTTAATTTAATTTTAAATTTGGAGCAAATTTCTTGTCATTCATCTCTCTTTAGAATCTTGCTTGTCACTCTCCTTTTTCTTAAATCTCTTTCACTTTATACAAACATAAATGTCTAATTTGTATTTCTGTTTGTACAAAGTGAAACAAACTGCTTATACAAATACATATCTCTCTATCCTATACACTTATAAATTATACAAATAGAAATATAAATATTTTAACTCAATTCAATAATGTACGAATTAAAATTTTATATAGATATACAAATATAACTATTGATACATATACATATGTTCGCAATAAATTTCGTAGCCGCTGAAAATCGACTGCAAGCAAAATAAATAAAAGAAAAAATGTGATTTTCATTAATGAATTGTTGTGAGTACAATTCAGTTTTTCTCTTGATTCTCTATCCTAAGTTTCTCGCGATTTGAGGGCATTCAGTAGCGTATTTCCTGAATTGTTGGATGATGTAGACCTCCTTGAGATGTTGTCGATCTCCGGGATGTCGAAAAACACTTCGTCGTTGTAAGTCGATCTCTGGGAAGAACTCTGTTGATCGCTCCTTCGAAGAACTATTGATGTTGATGTTGTAGCTTTCTCCAATTTGTTGTTGAATGCATGTTGAAGAGTTTTCTGCAATTGCAGAATGCTTGTTGAAGTCTCTTCTTCCCTCTCTTGAATGTCACGTTCATCCCCTATTTATAGTTGTAAGGGATGGACAAGGTTGCTTGTGATTGGCCAAAGGATGTCATTTTGACACTTGGCGTATTGTGATTTGTTCTTGCATTTGACGGGGAGTACCACCTCATTTGGACACGTGGCGTCACCTTGTTGGTCTTTGATGTCTAGTCACTATGACACGTGACATGAGTTTGAACTTCAAGGGGAAATGGACCTTGGACTTGAATTTAATAAAATGGATTTATTTATTTGTAAAGCCCATATTCATCATTCAACCAAAATAAACATGAATTTAATCAGAATTTTTTATGAGTTAAATCCAATAAAATTTGTGTGTCTGCAGATGCCCCCTACTTCAAACCTTGTTGAAGTTTAGGTCTGCCAACACTTTGTGACAAGACTTGAAGTATTCATGTATGTGTATTTTTTAGACGTATCAACGTGTAGGCTTGTCGAATTTGATGACGAAAATTGAAGTCTTTATGAAGGAATTGTTGAGACTTCAAGAGTATTTTTTTTCTTATCATCGCATTCTAACTAAGTCACTACAAATGATTTGTTTGTAGTGATCTCAATTTTTTTTTTGTTTAAACATTTTTGCTTGAAAATCACGTGGACCCTTTATATTAATTTCAAATAGATAGGTCTAGTGAGTAGTAACATTGTGTAATTTCTTGCAAGGTGTAAGAAGAACAAGAATATTTATTGTATCTTGACACAAATAAAAGGAATATTGACTTTCCATTGGTTGATTTTGTAAGAATCATTCTTCTTTTGAGTGCTAACAACTTCCATTTACATGGTAGAAATTGATATGATTTGATTCTTCTAAGTTCACCAAAATTTCCTTGTACAAGAAATAACAATTTTTCAAAGGAATTTCTATATAAGAATCTTCCATGTACAAAGGATTGATCAAAGAATCATTGAAAAATAATTCTTCTAACCAAATCAATGTGAAACTCCAAATTTGGTGTCTTCTTTTCTGAATCTCGTGCAGTCCCAACAATATTTTATTTTCTTAGTGTAGAAATGTCTAATGATAAGCATCTTGGTTTGGAAGAAATAAGATTCGTAGTACTTTGGCCTATTCAAAAATCAGCCTTAAAAACCTTCAAGATTCTCGGGAATCTGTTTTTAAAGTCAGATCCCAAATCTGTCAGTTCTTCTCACAGCTACACGGGATCTTACAAAAACATGAGTTTATTGGTGTAGAAACATTCAAACGATGAAAGACTTGATTTTGGAGAAACTAGAGTTCGAGTACTACGACATATCCAAAAATCACAGTTAGAAACCTTTTGGATCAACGGGAATAAATTTTTGAAGTTGGACCCTAAATCTAGACATTCTTTCCATGGGTATGCGGGATCTCACCAAAACATCAGTTTGTTAGTGTAGGAACATTCAAATGATGAGCGGCTTGATTCTCCAGAAACTATACTTTCAGTAATACATCATATTCAAAACTTACAGTTAGAAACCTTTTGGATCAACGTGAATCAATTTTTGAAGTTGGACCCTAAATCTAGACGTTTTCCTCACGGCTATACGCAATCTTTCAAAAATACTATTTACTTGGTGTATGAACATTCAAACGATGAGCGGATTGATTCTGGAGAAATTAGACTTCTATGATTACAATATATCCAAAAATCAAAGTTAGAAAACTTTTGGATCGATGGAAATCAATTTCTGAAGTTGGACCCCAAATATGGACGTTCGTCTCACGGCTATGCGCAATATCTCCAAAACATCACTTTCTTGGTGTAGGAAAATTCAAATGACAACATACATGATTCTGATGAAACTAAACTTTTGATTATACGACATATCCAAAAATCAACGTTAAACTCCTTCTGAATCAACGAGAATCAAATTTTGAAGTTGGTCATCAAATCTAGAAGTTCCCCTCATGGATTTTCGTCTTTTGGATTTTTCTTGTTTCTCTTTCTTGCAGGTAATGATTGTAGTTTTGCATATTTATTTTGCATAGACATGTTTCTTAAAAAGGAAAAATTAATTTTCAAGATCCAATTTGACCGTAATTCAAAACTTCGTGCTATTGGCACTGCTATGTCGAACAAGATTTTGTTCTGCTCATTTTTGTCATGCAATATTGAAGGGTCATGCACTTACTACATGTGTTATCAGAAGTATATCAACCAAGAAAAATTGAAAACTTTGTGCAATTGGGATAGATGACTCTCGCGAACGAGGAGTAACATGCAGTTTATGGTCATACCTTAAGGAGCATTGTAACTTGTAGCTTAGGCTCGTACATTGAGGAGCATTTCACGGAATATTTTCATTAATTTAACTGGTCTTCTAACCTTTTGTGATGAATCATTAATGTACTTTACTTTGGAGTTGGATTTCATGCTTTCGCATTGTCGAAGTTGAATCATAATTGATTTTGTGACAACTTTTGAAAGTTGGAGTTCAGAAGTACCTTGATGATTCTGCCTTTTGCGAGTAACCAAAGTCCAAGTGTCATCACTCTCTTCATTGAAAAAGGCATCTACCTTGGATGTGTTTGTTGTTTTCGTCAAGACGAAAACTTCAACTGATTCAAATCATCCAAATTGCAGTATGATGAGATCTTCAATTTTCAGTGATGCCACAGAACGTAGAATTTCTGAAATTGAAATATAATCTAGTTCGACACTAGCATGGTTTGTCTCAGCTGTCTCACCATCGTCAATGATGATTTTTCTCTTTCTTACCAATGTCATGATCTTCTCTTTTAGAGTGAAGCATTTTGTGATGTGATAACCGATGATGCGGTGAAATTCACAATACATAGGATCATTGGTTTTATTGGATTCTTTGGGTCGCTTTGACTCTGGGAGTACTATGACTTTCTTTGTTAGCTGCTCATCAAGAATCCCAGGAACGTCAGAGTTCGGAAAGGGAAATTCTTTTGCTTGTAACTCCTTCAAGGTAGATTGATTTTTCACTTCTCGCATTTGTTGATGTGCTACAATCTCTTTGAACTTTTGTCTCCTAGAGGCTTTCATAGAAGTTGTGGTTACCATCAAGGACTCATTAGTTGTGTAGTCTAACGACTCTTTGAATTGTATATTATCTTTTTTTGGGATCAAAGACATATGATGTCTTTCCATGGCTTGCAATGCTCAAATCCATGTCATGAGAGCGTGTAGCTAATTCTTTAAAAGTTTGAGGTTTAATTCCTTGAACGATATATACAAGGCCCCAATGCACTCCTTGTAATCTAAACTCAGCATTCTCCAACAATTGATGTAGTCCAAAACGAGTTCATTCTTAAGTTGTTTCTTGTTTGTCAATTCCATCATGCTCGCTATACGGTGAGTGTTGTAGAAACGATTAAGAAGTTGATTTTTTAATTGTTCCCAACTATCAATTGATTCAGGATCCAAGTCTAAATACCAATCAAACGTGTTTTCTTTTAAAGAACGGACAAACTGCTTGACAAGAAGATCATCATGTGTACCAACACTGCTACATGTCTCGACAAAATGGGCAATATGTTGCCTTGGATTTCGTTTTCCATCAAATTGCTGCAATTTTGGTGGTTAATATCCAAATGGCATTAGTAGACCCTCGATTCGCTTAGAATATGGCTTTGAATATCCTTAGGAGCTTTGGGACGCACCAACATATTGAGCTTTTATTGTGTTTGTGATCATATCTATTAGTTGTTGAACTGTTAGAGTGGCAACTGAAGAAGACTGTTTTGCGCTTTGAGAGTCAAGTGACTTGGTGAGAGAATCAATATAAATTTTTTCTTGAATTTTTAGATTGTGATGTGACTCTCTAGAGTTGTAGAGATCTAACTTGCTCATCAGTTGTGCGATTTGGAGATTTTTGTCATCAATAGACTTCTTGAAGGCATCAATGGTTTGCTCCATCATTGCGAACTTCTCGTCCATGTCAGTTGTGTCAACCATAAATGAGTTAGCCTTTGTTGAATTGAAGAATTTGTTGAACTTTTAGATGCACCAAAGTTGAAGCCATAGTATGAAAGTTCATCAAACAACTTTGATGCAATGTTACCCCCAGATATTGCAGTTTTGAGTGTTATTTGAGACTTGCTCTTTATTGAAATCTCCATGGAGGTGAAATATTCAGATCCATTCTAACACACTTGTCTTGAACTCGCGTCGAGTGATTGGATCAACATCACTAAAATCAACAAATGTGAAAATAGTATATTCCTTGCATGAAACATCATTGATCTTCTTGAAAGCCATTGCAGAGTTGAACTTATTTTTTTTTATTTGCAGGAGGAAAAGCTGATGAGCAGAATTGGTCCCACTGGGCGTGCCAAATTTTTTCGCAATAAATTTTTGTAAGCGCTGAAAATCGACTGCAATCAAAATAAATAAAATAAAAAATATGATTTTTATTAATGAATCGTTGTGAGTACAATTCCGTTGTTCTCTTGATTCTCTCTCCTAAGTTTCTCCGGATTCGAGGGCCTTTAGCAGCATATTTTCCGAATTGTTGGATGATGTAGACTTCCTTAAGATGTAGTTGATCTCTGAGACGTCGTAAATCACTTCGTTGTTGTAAGTCGATCTCTGGGAAGAACTCCGTTGGTCACTCCTTCTAAGAACTATTGATGTTGATGTTGTATCTTTCTCTAATTTGCTGAATGCTTGTTGAAGAGTTTTTCTGCAATTGCAGAATACTTGTTGGAGTCTCTTCTTCCCTCTCTTGAATGTCATGTCCATCCTCTATTTATAGTTGTAAGGGGTGGAGAAGGTTGTTCATGACTGGATAAAGGATGTCATTTTGACACTTGGCGCATTGTGATTCTTTCCTGCATTTGATTGGGACTATCACCTCGTTTGGACACATGGCGTCACCTTATTGGTCTTTGATATGTAGTTACTATGACAAGTGGCATGAGTTTGAGCTTCAAGGTGAAATGGTCCTTGGATTTGTATTTAATAAAAATGAACTTATTTATTTGTAAAACCCAAGTTAATCATTCAACCAAAATAAACATGAATTTAATCCAGATTTTGTATGAATTAAATCCAATAAAAATTGTGTGTCTACAACAGAAAACTTATATACATCTATACAATTATCTAACCCATGTACATATATAATTCACCTCTCTCCACTCTTTGTCCTCTCTTGATCACCTTCCTCTCTCTTCCTTCTCTCTCGATCTTGCTCGTCATTCTAACTTAAGACAGAAAACATATACATGAACAAACACAATTTGTATACAAATCACACAACATAAATCACTGTGATTTATAGAAATCAAATACTCCGTAACAATTATAATTTGATTTTGTAACATAAATAATAGATCTATATTTATAGAACATTAATATAATTTTTATGTAATTTATTTTTGTTGTTCCTGAAATTTACTCTAACAAGTATCGCCCTTTAAAGTTGTGAACTCATTAATTCAATATTCAAATTTAACCATTGACACATTTTATTTTATTCTATTATAAATATATGAGAATTGATAAGGCTTTCTAATAATTAATGCTCACATTTATTAGTCAAACTAGTAATAATATCAAAGATAGCTTGACAGAAGAATCAAATTATTGGAGGCCCCATAAAATTAAATTGAAAAAATTGCTAAGTGGATACTAAAACCATCTTATGTCCCTTTCTATTTTTATTTTTTTTATTCTTTTTTTATTTTATTCTTCACTCTTCATATTGAAAGAGTAAATAAAAAATTGGTTCCTATTATTCATTCATTGTTACTTGTCACATTTAGACATGACACATTCATTGAAAAATTAATTATTGATATATATATTTGAGATAAGTTTAATTTGAAAAACAAACTTAAACTAATTTTTTTTAAGTTTCATACCTAAACTTTGAGATTGTGAGTTTCATATCTAAACTATAACTTTTTATTTTGAGAAAATGTAACTCTCTTTTATACCATTCTCATCATGGTGTGATACACTTTCTGCTTTATTTTAAAAATTATCACATCACACTCGATATGAAAAAAATATTTAATCTTGATAAATATTAAATAAATTATCAGTATTAATTAAAATTCTAAATTAATAAATTATTATCCAAAACAATAATATTTCTTTTATAAAATAAAATACAAAATATTTTTCACACCCCACTTTATCACTTCCTCACCGCCCCTCCCCCACCCCTCAACCATTTTTTTAAAATTTCATTTATAAAATAATTTATGTTATAAATCCATTAAATAAGTGGATAGTCCATAAAGTTAGTACATGAACAACCATTCATATTCACTAGGTTACATGAACCTTTTTGGATAAGAATGTATCTATTTATTATGATACTTAATTTGGTGACCTTTGGAGTTATTTCTCACTCTATAAATAGGTTTGTTCATTCACTATTGTAATATATACATATGAAACTTACATATACTTGAATAAGAAGAAAGTATTCTCCTACATCTACTTCTCTTGTCTTCTTCTTATAATCTTGATTTTACAACACGTTATCAGCACGAGTCTCTACCAGTTCAAGTAAAGACTTTAAAAGCCTTGGAGGTAAGAATTTTTTTTTTTTAAAAAATAATGTCTAATCTTTAAAACTTGAATTTCTTGCTCTAGAAATATCGAGAAAAAGCTATCTATCATGGGCACTCGATACAGAAATTCATCTTGATGCGATGGGTCTAGCAGACACCATCCAAGAAAATAATCAAGCATCGAATCAAAACCGTGCTAAGGCGATGATATTTCTCCTTCATCACCTTGATGAGAGTTTGAAAATGGAATATCTCACTGTTAAGGATCCTCTGGTGTTGTGGAACAATTTAAAAGATAGATATGACCACCTGAAGTTGGTCGTCCTTCCACATGCACGTTATGACTGGATCAACTTGAGACTTCAAGATTTTAATTCTATCAGTGAGTATAACTCTTCCATGTTTAAAATTATCTCACAATTAAAATTATGTGGAGAAAATATCACTGACCATGATATGCTGGAAAAAACGTTTTCCACTTTCCCTGCCTCGAGTATGCTTCTGCAGCAGCAATACAGAGAAATGGGATTTAAAAAGTATTCCGAATTAATCTCACATCTCCTTGCTGCTGAACAACATAATGATTTACTGATGAAAAACCATGAAAGTCGACCTACTGGTTCTATGTCATTTCCTGAAGTAAATACGACAAATTTTCATACCTCTAAGCGTGAAAAAGGTCGTGGCCCCAGTCGTGACCGTGGTCGTGGAAGAAATTTAAATCATGGTGATCGTCTTGCACTAAATAATAACATTAAACACCTGCAGTTTAAAAAGAAGAATGAAAAAGATGACGTAGTGCAGAAGAAAAATTCAGACAACAAATGTTATCGATGTGGAAAAAAGGACATCGGTCACGTACCTGTCGTACGCCAAGGCACCTGGTTGAGTTATATTAAGCTTCGCTGAAGGAGGTGAAAAATAACGCAGAGGCCAACTTTATCACGGAAGATACTGTTGAACCCATGCATCTAGATGTAGCGGATTTCTTTGAGAATCCCGAAGGAAAGATAGATCACCTGATAGGTGATGGGTCTGTGATAATATAAATATATTTCATTTTCGTTGTTTATATGAACTAGTATGAATATGTTTTCCTAGACTTGTAAATAACTAAAAGGTTGTGTAATATTTTTGTTTACTAATAATATTATAATATTTATTTCTTTTATATCTTTTATCTTGAAGAGTACATGGATACCTCAATAATCAATCATGAAGATATTTGTATAATTGATAGTGGAACAACGCACGCCCTATTCAAAGATGAGAAATACTTCTCCTACTTGCTTAGAAGAAAGCAAATGTTACTACAATTTCTGGTAATTCAAACTTAATAGAAGGCTCTAGAAGAGCTATTATATTTCTGCCTAAGGGGAAAAAACTTGTCGTAGAAGATGTTTTGTTCTCTTCTAAATCCCCAAGAAACCTGTTAAGTTTTAAAGATATTCGCCGAAATGGATATCATGTTGAGACAATAAATTAAATGAATGTTGAATACCTTGGTATTACCAAGATTGTCTCAGACCAGAAATA